CTCTCTCTCTATATATATATATATATATATATATATATATATATATATATTCTGATATAGTTTAAATAACTTAGGGTGATTCATAATACTTAAAATTATGTGAAATCTGTTTGCTATTTCTTCCTGAGGAAATAAGAAGGAAAAATACACACATCTTCATTACAGGTGCAAGTTATTTTCAAATATTTTCATTCTGTTGGTCAAAAGTGGGTCAAAATTGTCTCTGTGTGCACTGATAGACAAATCTAAAATTGGATAAATGGAAAGAAGAGAAGTTTTTTCTGTCTATCTGTGGAAATGGCAAATGAGGAGGATATGAAATCCTAACCATAATGGACAAGGGAGATTTGGATTATTAAAGAAGGCCCTAAGGGCCAGAGCACATGAGTAAAAGATACTAATACAGATAAGCCAGACAGTAAAGGATAGCATAAGGTGGCTTCTAAGGCTCCTGTAGATGAGACAGAGCTACAGGAAAGGGGTGGCTCCTGGCCAGCAGAAAGCCTGCCCACGAAGAGCTGTCAATGTAAGGCAACTGCACTTTAGGAAGTCCCAGGGATGATTCGACAGTTTTAAAGCAGAAAAAGAATGTCATCAGAGACTGCAGAGACATAGGAGCAGGCTATGGAGGTCTCCCAGGAGCAAGCTAGTGAAGCTCAGGAGGAAGGCAGCCTGATCATCTTTGTCCTGCTTACGGGCAGAGCAGGTACAGAGTGCCTCAGGTCAATGTGTGTCATTCTTGCATCACTTATAATTCTGAGTTTACTGAGGAAGTCATTCCTATTTTGTGGCATGAAGCTGAATTCCCAAGACTTAAGCCTGAATTCCTGGCTCAGTCCCCAGCACTGTCTTACAAGCATGCAGGGATGCATGGCAGAGCGGTTCTTCCTCTCATGCTCAGCACGCATGAGCTTGTGAGACACTAGGCTCATGTTCTGAATCAAAGTAAAGACTCTTCAGAAATGGATAGTGTTTCTACACCCTTTCTACCGAGGTAAATCACTGTTGAACATGATTAAGAAAACAGGTGGTTAAGAGTAGTAGCTAATCTTGGGTAGCCTGAGCTCATGATAATATCTCTAGACTGTGTGATCTGAGAGTAGTGCATCCAGGGCAGGGAGGGAGGCAAGGCAGTCTGTATCTTCCGGTGCTGTATCACTGTCTGTATCTTCTTATGCTGGACACTAATGGCAGCACCTCATCGTTTCAGCTTGAATCATTCCCAACCGAACCACTAGAAACTCACCGCATTCCCTTTCCACTGTAGCTCAAACAGATGAAAGCCAATTTATGAATGAAATTCCCCTTATACCAGCATGCACTTCTCCAAACTTCAGACAGGGACTTACTGGCTTATTAATCCAGAGTATGTCAGCGTTGTCCGACAGAGATTCATCAGGACCAAAGTCAGTAACTGGCTGGGCTTCCACCCTGGAGCTCTGCTTCCTTTTGAGCATGCTGAAGTTAGCTTTGGGAGGCAAATACAAAACCACAATCTGGCAAAAGTAGAAGAGAAAGCCTTATTAGCTACCTAACCTACCTCCCATCCCATCAAAAGCATTGAATCCTTCATGTATGTGTTCTTTGCTCTGTAGGGCTGCAACCATGGCCATGACAACAGGGATTTTTCCTTATCATTTTAATATGTCATTCACATGCTTCTCTTGTTCCAATCTTGATCCCAAGTTGACTCCTCTATGTTGTCCTTCTCAGAAAGGCTGGAGTCACAGAGAATAGGGACAAAAGCTCCAGCAGTTGGAAGCTTTGCCATTTTTTGAATGCAGTGATCATCTAAAGTCTCTTCCCCAACTGCACTTGAAGACGGGGCTGAGGTGCTGGTATGCCACTTGTTTCCACAATCCCACATTATATACATCTTATAGTATATGTCGCCACCTACGGACACTTCTAAAGTTGGCAGACATTTAAGAAGGGCCTACTATACATCCAACGACAAGTAAGTGCACTATGCTGTGGCCAAGGCACGGCTGCCTGACTGCCCTTCAGTCCAGGTAACATTCCTCATTTGATTAACATATACTGACCTTCTTTACCTGTTTCTAGTTTTCCAGGTAGAGTCTCACTCTTTGGATCTGGTGTGCCTGGAACTCCTTAAGTAGATCTGGCTGGCTTTGAAATTGTGACCATCTTTCTACTTCCCTATTTTCACTTCTTTGCAAAATGACATACAGTATAAATAGCACAGTGGGTTCAGCCTTTTACAAATGTGGTGACACACTAGGATGTGACTGCATTCTGGATTTAAAGAAGTAAGAAGAGTCAGGTGGGACTGAGTCTTAAAGAGAGGAGTATGCGATGAGGTTTAGACAACTATTGCTTGGCACATTTATTTAATTTTAAAACTGACCTGACAGATGAGAAAACACCTTTTTGTTTGTTTCTTTGTTGTTCTGTTTAAATTTTTGTTTGTTTGAGGTTGAGTATTGCTATATAGCCTTGCTTATGTAGAATGTGCTGTACAGACAAGGCTGGTCTCAAACAGCCAATGATCCTGCTGCCTCTGTCTCTCAAGTACAGGGACCACAGGAATTCACCATCATACCTGGCTCAGACGTTTTATGTATGCATAAGGAATTCCAGCCTTGAGGTAGATGACAGCTTGATCAGTGCAATCTAAGCAAACGTGAGTTTGAAAGCAAGTCAGGTATGATTACAAAGCCTCAAGTTGTTGAGAGATGGCCATGGAGTTCTCAACACTCTTAGGAGCACGACTGAAGGCAGATGGCAGAGGACAGCACTTCCCAGGCAGGCTATGGCAATGAGAATGTAAAGTTGGGAAAATGGAGCCATTTCAGTACCAGGAAAATCTATTTACTGCCTGATACTCCAGAAAGGTGGAGGAAGAAATCTCACCAAAAACAGTGTATCTCCCCTTAGTCAGAAGAGGAACAAAAATGTGTTTTCAAGAATGTACATATATGCACTTGTAAGTTTCACTGGGAAAGAAAATAAAATACAGCTCAGAACAAAGAAATTCTGAGCGTTTCTCTGTGTTTAAGGGTCTACTCTTGTTGCTACATGCTCCTCCAGTCCACCTGAGAAGCTGACTTTCCGTATCTTCCTATTTCCAGAGAAAATCAAGCTGCTTGTCTTTAAGATATGCTAGGTATTCCTAAGCTGTTGTTACTTTGAACACAGAATTTAAATATGGGTCTTGCAGTATGTTTCACTAACTAATTTTATTTTACATAATTGAAATTAGAAACTCTTGACATCCCTTATAAATGTATGCAAAATATTCAAATCCTACTTCTTCTCTGATTTACTGTGAGTTGGGGGACACAGCTGGTGGCCTTAATTTGAGATGTCTCTAAGGATGCCACTGAAACCTCACTAGAACTAACTTATTAAATGAATTCTAAATTACAGGATACAACAATCCTCCCCCCGCCCCCAGAAATCCAGAACTATTGCTGTATGTGAACAGCAATCAATCGAGAGGAAAGTTCTTTCTCTGATAGCCACAATACAATTAAATGCATAGGAATAATTCAGTCAAGGATATATACAGCCTCTCCAGTGAAGCACTAAACAACGGTTAAAGACATTGAGAAGATATCAAAAAATGAAGAGTGCCGTGTTCATTGAAGATTATTTTTATGTTTTACTACTCTGCTTATATTTTAAGATTATAATATATTACGTCCTTTCTTTCTTCCCACTTTCTCCCTCCAAACCTCTTCATATACCATTCCTTGCTCTCTTTTAAAATTCATAGCCTCTTTATTAATTCATTGTTGTCACATGCATATATATGTATATATACATATTCCCAAATATAAGCTGCTCAGTCTGTACTGTTACTTGTATGCATGTTTTCAGGGCTGACAGTTTGGTATTAGCTAACCAACTGGTGTGCTCTTTTCTGGGGAAGACAATTTCCCTCTCTTTTCTCAGCATTCTTCAGCTGTCTGAACTAAAAACTGTGATGCGAACACTTTTACAGCTCATGGGATTTCAGCTCATCTTGTTTCTCTGTTTTTCCTTTGTTCACTCATCATTCATTCACACACCAAATGCTTTGCATCCTCTCTGTGCCAGGAACTACAACATGTGCCCAGTGCCTAGCAGGGAACAAAAACCTGAGTTTAGAAATCACTGGCTTTGTTTAAACTCAGATTTCACGGAGAATCCCACCGTTCTGCTGCATTTACCTGCATTCATCCTTGCACCCACATGCTCCCCTCTAACTGGCTAAAGTCACAATTATTTTTCACCCTCCAGCCTGCCTCAGCTATTTCAAATATTTTATCCCACTGTGCCTGCTTTGTTGCCTGCTATCAATCCCTATTCCTAATTACCTTATTTAACTCAAAATCATTTGCTTAAGGTCTGTTTGTGGTTTGTTATCACTGAAAGATTTACTACTTAAAGAGAGAAGTTTAAGCAAACAGTTTGGTAAATTCATAGCACATATTTTATGGAAGAATACCCAAAGAAGGCAACAGTCACTGGCTTCTTTCTCTTCATTGGGTGGCAAGATCTGCTAACAGGACCATGATCCACTACTTCGGGTTACCAGTAGGCACAGATATTGCAGTCTTCGTGAGTACAGGTGAAATTATTCGCCTATCTTTTCCAACACACCCCACTTAACTGTGTGCTGCTGATGGTAGCTCTGTGTTGCTGCACAACAGGTAACAGAGCTGATTTAAAGGTGGGGCAGGTGGGAAGGAAGGCTCTCCCACTGCTGTGTACTCCTCCCTCACCCCCCCCCCCCAGTGGTTCTACCATTCTTCTACAGCTTACTGCTAACACTAGCCTCCTGACTCCTGGGCAGCAGCATGGGAAAGCAGATTTTCAGAATGCTGATGCAGCATGCAAGGACAATTCACAGTCTAGGCCCTTCCTACTTTTAAATACTTAAACTTCAAGGCTCTAATTCTCCCTTACCCCCTCTTTTTTTCTTAATATTTCCACAGAACACCAAACAGAAAGCCATTAAGACTGAGGTTAGAATGGTTGGACACATGGCTCGGTAACCGAGAGCACTTGCTGTTCTCGCAGAGAACCCAGGTTTGTTTTCCAGAGCCCACATGTTAGCTCATAACTGTCTGCATCACCAGTTTTAGGGAACTCCGCACCACCCTCTTTGCCCTGCAGTGACTGCACACACATGGCACATTAGCATACATTCAGGCAAACACTCATACACAAATACATGCATGTGAAAGACTTATATTTGAACAATCTTTTTCTCCCTTCTACATTGAAATCTGCTTCATACTTTAAAACACCATGAAAGTACTTGAAGATAAATGCAGACACCAGTTCCTGGTACTGGAACAGGACAACCATTATTTCTGAGCATTTGAACTCTCTTTGCTAACGGCTTCTTAGACAGACATTTCTATTTACAGAAAATGTATACATCATTGTATGTTTTATGCCACTCTTTAAATTAGGGGAAACATCCTAATACTCTCTCACTGTCTGTAACTGCGCATCCATGTGCGCTGTTTTATGCTTCATTCTCTGCCCATTTGGACTTCCTCCCACTCCAGGCACGGATGAGCCCTTGAGCTTCCGAGCCCACACCACACTTCTCTCTGCTCGGCCCAGGTGTGCCACAGCTGTGTCCAACGGCCAACAGTCTTCTTCCTCTTCTTCACCAGATTTTTAGCCCTGGCACCAATGACTGAGTCTAACATGCTTTCTCTGTTGTTCTCTACCATTACCTCCAGGCATCTTAGAGCCCTCACAGCCTAGTGCACATATCAGAGCATTTCCTGACACTCAACTCTAGCAATCCTGGTGTCTTTGTTTAGCAGCTGCTTAATTACTGATTTTATTTTATTTTTTAAATAGTCAGAACTATTTAAGATAGGAACAAAATTTGACATGAAATCTAATGTTATTTCTCAGTCAGTATGTTTAATTATAGGTAGCTTCAGAACCACACATGCACACACATACAAGCAGAGAAACCTAAAACCATACCACATGCAGACACACACATAAACACCTAGACACATAGACACACACATGAACACCTAGACACACACATAAACATCTATACACACACACACTCACACACACACACACACACAATGTAAAACATGAAAGTTTAAAAAAAATAAGCTTTTTTGGCTCATTTCTTCTAGATTATGTTTACTGCCATGCAAAAATGGACTCCTTCCAATTAAAATGTTTCCTGGAGTCTCATTATGGAACAAGCACTGTCTTAAGTGTATCTTACATTAGTTCATTCCGTTCTTACAAGAATCATTTCATAGACCAAGAAGCCCTAGTAATAAAGGTAGCCTAGTGTGTGAGCCAAAACAATGCAGCTCACAGAACTGCTAAATTAAAAATCAAATATTTTTTTCAACAAAGAGGAGAACTACAATATTTTTGAAGAAATCTGGGATTATAAATTCCTCACCTATCACTATTTGTGAAATTGTGCAGATAGCTAGACACCCTTCGTCTTCTAATTTAGTATTT